TGTTGAAGACAGACTAGATTTTATAGCACATTTGAAGATTTAAAACTATATTTGAAGCACTTAAAACTATAACACTGGGCCAGCATGATGGCTCAACAGGCTAATCTTCTCCCTGCCAGTGATGACATCCCACATGGGTAACAGTTCTAGTCCCGGCTGCTCCACTTGCAATCCAGCTTCCTGCTTATGGCCTGGGAAAGCAGTGGAGGATGGCTCAAGTCTTTGGGACCCTGTACCCACTTGGGAAAACCAGAAGAAGCTCCTTCCTTTTGGCTTTGGATTGGCCCATCTCTGACCATTGCAGTCATCTGGGGAATAAACCATACAATGGAGGATTGTCCTCTCTATCTTTCCACCTCTGTGTGAATATACCTTTCAATAAAAAAAAAAAAATCTTTACATATATAGTACTGAGGGTGGTACAGACATCAAAGCAATGGACAAATAAAAAGTTCAGCAATAGGCACAAATATATCTGATATCTGATGAAAATAGCTTTCTAATTTGAGGAAAATAAATACTATTCAAAAATAGCTTTAAAACCCTGAGCAGTTATCAAGAAAATGTAATTTGTGATTTTTGGATTGGAAAGATTCTACATTAATTTTTTAAAAAGATTTATTATTATTATTTTTTATTGGAAAGGCGGATATACAGAGAGGAGAGACAGAGAGGAAGATCTTCCGTCCGATGATTCACTCCCTAAGTGAGCGCAACGGGCCGATGCTATTCCAGTCCGAAGCCAGGAGACTCTTCCGGGTCTCCCACGAGGGTGCAGGGTCCCAAAGCTTTGGGCCGTCCTTGACTGCTTTCCCGGGCCACAAGCAGGGAGCTGGAAGGGAAGCGGGGCTGCCGGGATTAGAACCAGTGCCCATATGGGATCCCGGGCATGCAAGGTGAGGACCTTAACCACTGTGCCACCGCGCCGGGCCCTACGTTAATTTTTAATATGTTACATTTTTAAGTGGTTATTCTTGTCTACTTAAAAGACAGAATGAGATCTTCCACCTGCTAATTCACTCCTCAAATACCTACAGTAGTTAGGACTGAGTCAAGATAAAGCCCAGAGCCCAGGACTCCATCTGGGTCTCCCATGTGGCATCAGAGATTCAAGTACTTGAGTCATCACCTGCTACCTGCCAGGATGTATTAACTGGAAGCTGGACTAGAAGCATAGCTGGGCTCCAAGGAGTAGCCTATATGTTACAGGCATCTCAGCTGGCAGCTTAACCTGCTATATTACAGTGCTTGCCTCAACTTAATGTTTTTAGCATCAGAATAAGTGCCATACACTTAAATATAAAAAAATGAATCCATGGAAGTGTCAGGGAAATACACAAGAGTCTCCTGAAACTAGCCTCTGGAAGGAAGGCTTTTCTAATGAAGACATAAAACCCCACATCTCTGCGAAGGTTAATCTATTTGTCAATGTGGATATAAAAATACATTGCATAATAGTAAGTCATAAGTAGAATCACTGACAAAAACCAGGGACAAGGTATGTGTACTGCGTGTCATGAAGGCCAATTTCTCCAATAGGTAAAAACTCCCACAAATTCATTACCAAAAGACCAACATTCTAACATGAAAATAAGCAAAGGATAGAAAAGCCCAACTTGGGGATGATCTTACCACACTGTAGATTAAGCAGATGCTTACTTTGGCAGCACATATACTAAAATTAGACTGTAGATTAAGTAGTCACTGCAACACCAGTGTCTCATGTTAGAATACCAGTTTGAGACCCAGGTGCTCTACTTCTGATAGAGTTTCCTGCTAATGCATCTGAGAAAACAACAGTTGATATCCAAGTACTTGGGTCCTGCCACCACAAGAGAAATCTAGATGGAATTTTTGGATCCTGGCTTCAGCCTGGTCTACCCCTGGCTGCTGTGGACATTTGGGAAGTGAACCAATAGATGAGAGGTCTCGCTCAAGAAAAAGAATAACCACAGCTAACAGGAAAGAAAATGCAAATCACGTTTGCACAGGTGGAAAGATGTCAATCTCACTATTGTGAAAGATGAAAATTCAAACGGTTAACCATATTGATAAAGATAAAAAATTTGATAAAAACTTGCATTCACCAGAGGATGGGAAAAGTCTCAAAAACTGTTGAAGCTGATACAACATATTTAGAAGACAATTTTACAGCATCAATCAAAAAATGCAAATATGGGCCTGGCACAGTAGCTAAGTAGCTAAAGTCCTCTACTTGAACGTGCCGGGATACCATATGGTCACCGGTTCGTGTCCCAGCAGGCCCTGCTTCCTATGCAGCTCCCTGCTTATGACCTGGGAAAGCAGTCAAGCAGAGCCCAAAACCTTGGGACCCTGCACCTAGTGGGAGACCCGGAAGAGACTCCTGATTCCTGGCTTCAGATAAACTCAGCTCTGGCTGGAGTGGCTGCTTGAGGAGTGAATCACTGGACGGCGCTCTTCCTCTCTGTCTCTCCTCCTGTAAATCTGCCTTCCCAATAAAAAAATAAAATAAATCTTTAAGAAAAATACAAACATATCCTAAGTGAAAAAAAGTATCTATTGACCTATCAATTCCTCTTTGGGGAATTTAATCTATAAATATTAGTACAAGTCAGTAATTCCACAAACATAGCATAACTTAATACAACATTACTTGCCAGAACTGTAGTATCATGTGCAAAACACTACTATTGGACAGAATTGAATGAAAGTTTCACTCACATCTGAAATTCAGTTTCTGCAAGTTATACTGCCAAATGAAAAAAGGCAGGCACAGAAAAACATGTGTAGCTTCTCTTCTTTGTGTCAAACTAGGAAACAAAAGAGTAGGCATTGTGGTGCACTGGGGTAGGCCACTATTGGAAACGCCCACATCCCATATCAGAGTTCCAACTACTCCATGCTTCCAATCCAGCTCCTTGTTCATGAGCGTGGGAGACAGTAGCGATGACCCAAGTATTTAGCTTCCTGCCAACAGTATGGAGACATGGATGGCGCTCCTAGCTCCTGCCTTCAACCTGTCCTAGCCCTTGTTGTTTCTGGCGTTTGGGGAGTGACTCAGCAGATAGAGGATATCTCTTTCTCCATTTCAGATAGATACATCCTTTCCTTTTTTTTTCCTTTTCCTTTCCTTTTCTTTTTTAAAAAGATCTTTTTTTTTTTTTAATTAGAAAGATAGATTTACAGAGAGAAAATGAGACAGAAAGATCTTCTATCTAGTGGTTCACTCCCCACTGGGTCACTCCTCAAATGGCTGCCTGGCTGCACCAGCCAGAGCTAAGCCAACCCAAAGCCAGTAGCTAGGAGTCAAGAGCTTCTTCCAAGTCTCCCACATGGCATCAGGATCTCAAGGTGTTCCCAGGCCACTAGCAGGGAGCTGGATGGGAAGTGGGGCAGCTGGGACACTAACTAGAGCCTATATGGGATCTTGGCACTTACAAGGGAAGGATTAGCCAATTGAGATATCGTGCCAGGCCTGATACATCTTTTTCTTAATGCTAAAAAATAAATAAAAAAATAAAAGAAAAAGAAGTGAAATTTTGAGGTTATGTAAGAGGAAATAGTAAGAATTAGTTCTGTAAAGGAATGGATTGGGAACTCATGGTCAGAGGCATAAATAAGAATCTCAAATTTTGTGGCATTTTTAAAAGAAGAAATTTAACTTTAGAATAAAAGAAAGGTGAGTTGAGCATTGTGATGTAGGGGGTCAAGCCATTTCTTGAGATGCCTAATTCAACACCCAACTCCTCTGCTCTGATTCAACTTCCTGCAAATCTGCCTGGGTGGCAGCAGGGTGCCCAAGTGCTTGATTTTCTGTGACTGGAGTTTTTGGCTCCAGGTTTGAACTGGCTGTTGCAGACATTTGGGATGTAAACCAGCAGATGAACAAACCTCTTTCTCTCATACACAAAGACACACACACATATCCCCTCATCTCTCCATTGCTCTGCATTTCAAATGAGAATGAGCAAATTTCTTCTTCAAAAAATGTAAGAATAAATACTAAGATGAGGACAATCTACTTTTTTTTTTTTAGGGAAAAAGAAATCGCAAGATAATTTTGGGGGGCAGATGCTGTGGTGTTCTAGGTTAAGCCCCAGCTTGGGACAACTAAATCTGAATACTAGTGTGTTTCAGATGCCCTGTTTCATTTCCAGCATCCTATTAATATGCCTGGGTTAGCGCAGATGATAGCGGAAGTGTTTGGCTTTGTGCCAGTCATGGGGGAGAACTGGATGGAGTTCCTGGCTCTTGGTTTCATTATGCACATCCTTGGCTCTTGCAGCCACTTGCAGAGTGAACCACATACAAAATATCTCTGTATCTCAATCACTCTACTTTCCAAATGAATAAATATATTTCTTAAAAGATAACTTTACTGTAGTATGGGACATTTTCTAAATCCTCTGTATCCAATTAAGCCAATGAGCCCTCTTTCTTTTTTCAATTGCTTTATTTTAAACATTGCTTACATTGTTGAGAGGGATGCACTCACATGTGAGCCTCTGATTAGGGTGGGGAGGGCCCAGGTATGGAAGAAGGTGGGTGGGTCAAATGTTTCAGTTCTTTTTTTCTCTTCTCTCTCTCTCTTTTTCCTCCTGTGTCTGCAGAGGGGCAAGGAAGACATCATTTGATGATGCCTACCCTGACTTGCCCCACATTCCATCTGGTTCTCATGCACACCCGTGGGTGCCGTGGATTAGCTTAGCCCAACCCACCCCCACACACAGCCCACACGTATGCTGGTGGGTGCTGCTACCAAGTCTAGCCTGATCCATCTGAAGTGCTAACTCATGCTCCCCAGTGGAGCTGTAGCCTACCGTTGCCAGCCTGTACCCATTCTGGTACTTGCAAGTGCCAACAGGTATAGAAACCTAGCCCAGTCTGCCCCATACCCAGACCAGCTCTACCCCAACCCCAGCTCTCATACTCACCAGTGGAAACAGTGGCCCAGCGAGGGGATCCCAAAAGTTTCCCTACCAGGTTTTTTCCCATCACTGGGTCTTGTGAGTACTGGCTGGTACCATGACCTAGTCTGAGCCCTTTTTCTGTTTGGAGGCCTGGTGCCACAGCTCAAACAGCAGCCTCCTAAAGTGTGTATGCAACTTATTGCTTGTATGGGTTGCCCCACAGGACCTTGGAGAAGGCCCTTTCCACAGGTCTGTGACCTCATGTTCTTCCTAACTGAGGCTCCAGAGCTTTTTTGGGAAGCTCTGAGGTCTGATAACCTGGGCTCAACAACTCATCATGTCCATCTACAGCAAGCTCCAGAACAAAAATACATAGTTGAGGCCCTACTACTTGAGAACAAGTTCACGTTCCTTAGACACCAGGAGATAGACACATCAGAGTAGTGGGGTTTTAACAAATTTAATGTGAATGAAGACATGATGGCATGGCTGTGAGATCAAATACATCTCCAATGGTGGGGTGCCCTGGGCAAATAGCAAGCCCTTCATTCATGACAGGTCCCACTATTCTACTTTTGTCTTTTTTTTTTTTTTTTTTTTTTTAGTTTCATCTCTTCAAAACACTTTCTCACTAAATTCTTCACTGACTCATAGATCATATAGTAGCATAATTTTCTTTCAGGAGATTCTTGATCTTTCTCATTTCTTCAGTGACACATTAGTGATTCAGTAGCATGTTATTTAATTTCATGCTGTTTTTAATTTCTTTTTTTATTCCTGTTGTTGATTTAGTTTTGTGGCTCTTCATTTAAGGAGATGTTTAGGGCCTGGCGGCGTGGCCTAGCAGCTAAAGTCCTCGCCTTGAACGCCCCGGGATCCCATATGGGCGCTGGTTCTATCCCGGCAGCTCCACTTCCCATCCAGCTCCCTGCTTGTGGCCTGGGAAAGCAGTCGAGGATGGTCCAAAACCTTGGGACCGTGCACCCGCGAGAGAGACCAGACCTGGAAGAGTTTCCTGGCTCCTGGCTTTGGATTGGTGCAGCTCTGACCATTGCATTTGCTTGGGGAGTGAAGATCTTCCTCTCTGTCTCTCCTACTCTGTATATCTGACTTTCCAATAAAAATAAATCTTAAAAAAAAAAAAAAGATATTCTGGTGCTGCAGAGTGTGAGTGAGATCATGCCAAACAAGTCTAAGGTTTATTAAGTAGTCTTTCTTAACCAAGCTTGGTGAAAACAAGGCCCACCAGAAATAGCAAATCACAAATCCATATGACAATCCAGTCAATCAATTCCCCAAGAGGAACAAATGTTATTACTCTGAAGTTCATCCGTTAAACTGAAGACCTATGTCCCAGCGTCCCCAGCAATGTAAGTTATCCTAAGAGACAAACAATGAATAACCTGGACACACAAAGCTGTAGACATTCACCTTGCCCTGGCTTCTCTGCCCACATTCCACTACTGCTAGACCCCATCTCTCCTGGGACTCCCAATAGTACACAAATTAGAAATACAAAGCATCTTAGCATTGCTATTTTTACTGTCCCACTCAAGCAGAGAACAGAGGCTGAGGAATATAGGTATTCAGGGGCCATGCTCAGGGGATACCTGTCCTCAGTCTGTGCTTGGGAAGCCAGAAAGCAAGCAGATACTGGGAAGGCCAAGAGTCAAGAGTGTCCAAGCGATGGAGGCACACACCAAGGGATCAAGCCCCTCCCAATCATGGGCCTTTATAGTGGCTTATGAGGGGCGTGGTTACATAACAACGTTCCAGGTGATGATAGGTGAGCATCGCAATTGGGCAGAAGGGAGCAACTAGGTGGTGGTCAGGGGGAGTGGCTTTCATGCCCACAATCCTGAACTAGCTGCCTACCCTACCTACCACACTAGGTGTGGCACTTTAAGGTAATCCTCTAAGGCAGCATTATTTACATTGTGTATTTGGGCTATAGTAACTGTTCAATGCATACTTTTTGGATAAACGCATTCCTCTGTTACAGATGGAAAAAGAAAATTAGAACATTGTTTCTCAAGATTTCATAGTGGGGCCCCGGCGCGGTGGCGCAGTGGCACAGTGGTTAAGGTCCTCGCCTTGCACGCCCAGGATCCCATATGGGCGCAGGTTTTATCCCGGCAGCCCTGCTTCCCTTCCTGCTCCCTGCCTGTGGCCCGGGAAAGCAGTCGAGGACAGCCCAAAGCTTTGGGACCCTGCACCCGCGTGGGAGACCCGGAAGAGGCTCCTGGCTTCGGATCGGGGTAGTATTGGCCGTTGTGCTCACTTGGGGAGTGAATCATCGGACGGAAGATCTTCCTCTCTGTCTCTCCTCCTCTCTGTATATCTGCCTTTCCAATAAATAAATCTTAAAAAAAAAAAAAAGGAGATGTTCAGTAACTGTAATGGAGACTGTCTTATTTTTTTTTTAAAAAAATTATTTATCTGAAAGGCAGAGTTATATCCAGTGTGATGGCTCAGTAGTTAAATCCTTGCTTGCACACACTGGGATCCCATACAGTATTGGTTAGTGTCCCAGCTGCTCCACTTCCCATCAATGAACAGGATCCCAGGGCTTTGGCCCATCCTCATCTGTTTTCCCAGGTCACAAGCAGGGAGCTGGATGGGAAGTGGAGCTGCCGGAATTAGAACCGGCGCCCATATGGGATCTCGGTGCGTTCAAGGGGAGGACTTTAGCTGCTAGGCCATGCCGCTGGGCCCACCCCCCTTAGTATTGTTAAAACATTGATGCTGGTATTTCTTTTTTCTACCATTTGCTAAATTCCTCAGAATTTGCTAAGTTACCCAAATCTGACTTCCCCTACAAACCCAGCCACTGGAGTGATGACTTCAGCTTCCCAAGTTGTCCCTCTGTGTTTCCTAAACCTCCAAAGACTATTCTCATTCATCCTATCTGGACAGAGGCATGAGCCCTAGTAGAGACCTCACTATACTCACAAAGTCCCAAATGACTCTAAGTTTGGTTTGTAGCTAGCTAAAAATAAATGCTCCAAAAACAGTCAAAAATAATTTGCTTGTTGAAGAAAATTTGGAAAATGTGATCAAGAGGAAGCAGATTAAAACTGCCCATCATACTAGTACCAAAGGTAAATGCTTTCAGGTTTACAACTGCACACAAGTTGATATTTTAATAAAATGTGATCTCACTGCTTTTTGAACCCAATTTTTTTCAATATAATGAGAATATTTTTGTCTGCCAAAACTGTTTTTCTCTGTAATTTCTTCCTTCCTTCCTTTCTTTTCTTTCTTTCTTTCCTTTGTTTCTCCCCCTTTTTTCTCTCTCCTTCCTTCCTCGCTCCCTCCCTTTTTTCCTTCCTTCCTTCCCCCTCCTCTCTTTCCTTCATATATTCTTTTCCTTCCTTCTTTCTTTATTTTTATTTGAAACCCAGATTTACTGAGAGAAGAAGAAACAGAGCGAGAGCTTCCATCCACTAGTTCACTCCCCAAATGGTCGCAACAGCCAATGCTGGACCAATCCACGGCCAAGAGCGTCTTTTAGATCTCCCATGTAAGTGCAGTGTCCCAAGGACTTCAGCCATTCTCCACTGCTTTCCCAGGCCACAAGTAGCAGCTAGGCTGGAAGTGCAGCAGCCAGGACACAAACTGTGCCCACATGGGATGCTGGTGTTTGAAGCTGGAGGATTGGCTTGTTGAGCCACAGTGTTGCTCCTCTTTGTATTATTTCTAAAGACTGCATAGTATCCAATGTAATGAAATACATGGGCTTTCTTTTAAGTTGTCAATTTTATCAGTAATCCCTGTGGTGAAATCTTTTGGGACAGCAATGATTCTTATCTTTTTTTTTTTTTATTTAAGGTTTTTTTATTTTTATTGCAAAGTCAGATATACAGAGAGGAGGAGAGACAGAGAGAAAGATCCTCTTTCCGATGATTCACTCCCCAAGTGACTGCAACGGCCGGGGCTGTGCCAATCCAAAGCCAGGAGCCAGGAACCTCCTCCAGCTCTCTCATGCAGGTTCAGGGTCCCAAGGCTTTGGGCCATCCTCGACTGCTTTCCTAGGCCACAAGCAGGGAGCTGGATGGGAAGTGGAGCTGCCGGGATATGAACACAGCACCCATATGTGATCCCTGCATGCTCAGGATGAGGACTTTAGCCACTAGGCCATGCTGCTGGGCCCCCTGGCATTTCTTTATGTTTGGCATTTACCAGCCCCTTACTTCCAGTTTTCAATATGTGGAGTTCACAGCTGTACTTCATCAATGTTTTAATTTTTATTTTGAAAATCAGACAACTTTTTTAAATTTAGGGATTTTTGTCTTTTATATTTCTTCCCTAACATATTGCCTGTTTATTTTCTTTGTACATTTTCCCCTTGTGCTAGTCATTTTCTGATAGACTCATAAGAAGTGTTTGAAACAGTTTTTGAGTCTTGTCCCTGTGAGTTGATTGCAGCAAAAACTTCTAGACTGATGTTATACTTAATTTACAGCAGATGAAGTCTTGGCCCTTGCATGAAGTTCACAGATGCTGGGTGCTAGTTTAATTCCAGATGGCCCTTCAGGAAATTTAATTTACAATATGCTAATGGCCTCTTGGGGTTTAAGAAGATTTGAAGACTAGTCCTGGAGTTTTAAGCAACATCCCACATTTTTTATGTTTCTTACATCATTTACGGTGGCTGTTGTACCCGTCCTCCTCCCCTCCCCACTTGCAGCACACATTTGCAAAATGAGTCATGTATTCTTCATCTCTTCATCTTCTCTCCTTTTGTTTTTTGGAAAGGCAGTTTTAGAAACACACACACACATTTCATTCACTGTTTTACCCCCCAGATGGCAGCAATGACCAATGCTGAACTGTTCATGTTCTATCTGCTCTACTTCCCATTCAGTGCCCTGCTGGATGGCCTGGGAACCTGTGCCTATGTGGGAGGCCTGGAGAAGCTCTTGGCTCCTGGCTTCAGATTGGTTCAGCTATAGCTGTTGCAACCACTTGGAAAGTGAACCAGCATTTGGAAGATCTTCCTGTCTCTGTAAACCTGGCTTTCCAATATAAATAAATCCACAACGGAAGAGAGAGAGAGAAAGGTCTTTCATCCATTGATTTACCCTGCAAAAGTGGCTGAGCTTACTGAAGCCAGCAGCCAGGAGCTTTCTTTGGATCTCCGTATGGGTGCAGGAACCCAAGCACTTCAATTATCCTTTCCTGGTTTCCAAGACACACTAGCAGGGAGCTGGACACACACATATATGTGCACTTCTAG